AGCATCTTAGAAAACCATAATGGCCTTTTATAACAAAGCATAATATGCTGAACTGTTTTGACCTGGCTTAACTGTTAAGTACTTGGATATAGAGGACAAGAGCTAAATAGTCTGCCTGTAATGGCATTAGACTACAATTTCCACTTTGAGGATACTCACTGTTACTTGTGAGCCCTGGTATACCAGGTAAGCTTTATGTTTCTAGCCTAGCCATAATCTAGAAGCAGAGGAATCCCAGTGTCTTTTAAAATCTGTTGTGTGGTTAAAAAAAAAAAGTGTGGTTTTCTTTTTTAAAAAAACAACAACCATAAAGCCCTCCAAATTGTTTTGGGAAAATAGAATTTATGGGTAGATAACCTCTGTATTATCTGCACATAAACCAAAACCATTTCTACAGTTAAACAAGTATAGGATTTAAAATCTCATAGTTGAGGGATGCAACTTATTGTAAGTGGGCCTTGTGAAAGTTTTATCTGCTCAAAGGCAGGTGGGGGGGGGAGCTCAAGACAATGTGATCAGTAAACTGACATCTAGTGTTCAGTAAAAAGTAACTGATGAGTTAGCATCATAACATTTGTTGAATTCCTTTAAATTTAATAATACAGGTACTTGTACATTTTAGTCCGTTTAGGTTTTTTTTTTTTTTTTTTTTGAGAAGTTTTCGCTATAGGGCGCATACGCTCGCCTGACAGACAGAGAGAGACAGAGAGACAGAAAGTGAGAAATCACCCCCTGGGAGAAAGACCAGGCAGCAATCCCTTCTCCATTCTCCTCGGGATTTTGGACACGCACACACATGCGCCCGGCGTGAGTTTTAAGCCACCGGGTCCGGTACGCAAACCGCGGTCGGCTATGTGGGAGTCCAGCGACATAGCCATTACGCTAACTGCTGTTTCCCTAGGTTTTTGTTGTTAAGAGAGATTTTTGCTACAGGGCATGTGCAGTCACCAGAGAAACAGAGATAGAAGGTGAGAAATCACCCCCTGGGAGAAAGACCAGGCAGCAATCCCTTCTCCATTCTCCTCGGGATTTTGGACACGCATGCACGTGTGCCCTTTAAAAAAACAACTCAGGAACTAGCAAGTGGGATAGTTAAGGCGAAGGATCCCACGTGGTAGACTCTGCTATTGGGTCCTGTACCCAGAAGCGTGAAAAACATGTTGGACACCTGTATGCGCATGTTAGTGATCCTACATGGAGAAGGGCTTGCGCTGTGGCCATCCTTCCTGAGCATGATTTCTCTCTCTCTCACTTTCTCTCTCTCCCCAAGCCTGTGCATCTTAAAGCAAAAGCCTCAGAACAGAAAACCTGCAACCCGGGACCAGCAGTTAGCAAAACGGCTATGTTGCTGGACTCCCACGCATTGGACCGCAGTTCGAGTCCCGGACCCGGTGGCTTAAACTCCCGCTGGCCGCTATGTGTGTGTGCCCAAGATCCCAGGAGGAGAATGGAGAAGGGACTGTGGCGTGGCCATCGCCCCTGGTGGGGTGATTTTTCACTTTCTGCCCCTCTGTGTCTTTCTCTCTGGCGAGCATACGCGCCCCATAACAAAAACCTAAAAGAAAAAAAAAAGGAAAAAGAAAACCTGCAACGCACACATCTGTGTCTGCTTTATCGAGGGCACCTCCTGCGCTTCCTGTGTTTTCAGAACTGCGAATGCCATGAGGCTCGGCTGACCAGGGGAAGTTGGCACTTGGAATATCCCCACCACTTTCGGACCCGGGTAACAAGGACCTCCACAAGTTCTCCCTACCGTGCTCTGAACCTGCGATCCCAGGGTCCCATGTGCACCACAGGCTCAGCAGTGCCCCCTCTTGGGCGCCCTGGGATTCGCCGTCTGAACTTGCGTTTGCCTTGGCGCCCTCTGCCGCGGGGCTACAGGCAGAGTCCCACGTCTCCGCCCCCGACGGTGTTTGCTCGTTGTAACCTCCGCTGGGCAACGCGAGCGGTGTGGGGTCAGTCTAGGGTCATGGCTTCTTCCCCATCCTGCTGGTTAGGGGGTCGTGACGCCCCTCCGCACCCCTCGGGCGACTGAGGACTTGCAGATACATCCTCAAGACCTCAGCTCCTCGTGAGCTCCGTGGGTCCCCAAATTCCTGGAAGAACCCCCATACCCGGATTGGCTGCTGCCCAGATACTTTGTAGCGATTTCACTTCCCGCTGCCCAGGCCGCTGGCGCCTCTCAGCCCAGCCGAGCACGTGAGCGCTGGGAGGGGCGCGGCCGCAGGGTGGGTGGGAGCCTCTGGGCTGCGGGATCCCGGACTGAGAGCCAGGCCGCCGGAGCAACGCGCCCCGAAGGTAGGCATCTCGGAACCCCCCGGCAAGGCAAGCCTAGTAGCCCCCTGCCCGCTCCCAGGCTGGACCCGCCGCCTTGCACAGGCCTGCAGGGACCACGCTTCGGATCCCTGGAGGGTCCAGTGGGATGGGCACTGAAGGCCCCTGGGAGCCCTGGAGCCTCTGCCCCCGCCGGTGGTCGGGGCCCCCTGCCCACCGCAGTGGTTAGAAGTACCAGCCCCGGGACCAATAGTTGGCGAAATGGTTATGTCTCTGGACCCCACGTACTTGGCTGCGGCTCTAGTCCCGGTTCGAGTTGGCGTGAACTCGGTGGCTTAAACTCAGCCGGTCCCATGTATATTTGTGCCCAAGGTCCCAAGTGGAGAATGGAGAAGGGATTGCCTGTCGCCATCCCCCCGGGGGTGAATTCTCACTTTTTCTGGCGAGAGCACGTGCCCTATAGCAAAATTCTCTCTCTCAGGAAAAAAAAGAAAGAAAATGGCTGTGACTACATACACTCAAAGCAAGGCCTTGGCACCTGTCTGGCAAATTGGGTCCTCGCCCAATGCCACCCAGAGCTGGGATACAAGGACACAACACAGCTTCTGTCAGAGCGGGAGGAACGCAAGGCGCGGGGTCCCAGAGGAACAGGTTGCCATGGCCGGGTCAGGGACCTATAAGCCTGACAAACCACCTCAGCGCTTGGTGCACAGCCAAGTTCATTAAGACAGCTTTTGCGGAGATTGAAAGGCCACTTCAGAGGGCATATGACGCGTACCTGCCCTTCTCATGTTACCGTGTTACAAGTGTCTGGAACGGAGGTCAGGGGTCACCTGTCTCAGTGCTGCTCAAGGGCAAGGACATGGTGTGACTGTTGGCTGTTGTGCTGTTCTGTGCAGGCTGAGTACCTACTGATGCGGGATGCAGAGTTTCCTGATGGTGCTGAGGGAGCACAGGGGCGCCTGCCCCCCCCCTGGGGAGTTGGTGACCCTGGCCGGCAGGCTGTGCCGGGACTTCCGGGATGACTTCGCCCAGGTGCAACCTTTGGTCACAGCCATTCTGGATAGCCGGCTCCGCCCATACCTGCTGAGCAATGTGGATGTGGCCTCGGTGTGCACCTGGGTCCTGGCCCAGCAGGAGCAGCTGCAGGCAGCCTGCCAGCTTCTGGAGGTAGGATTGGGCTGTGTGGCGGGACAGAGCTGCAGCAGCTCCTCCCCAGCCTCAGCACAGTGGGGAGGCCTGAGAGTGAGCAGGGACCTGCAGGCCCAGGGTCCCGGTGGGCTCTGGAGACAGTTTGTATGGGCTACTGCACTTTACCCATTCACCATGCCACATCCCACAACCTTGCTAATCTGAGTGACAGCTGTGGACTGAAGCCATGTTCTGTGGTGACACTGAGATGACTGCTGAGACCTGGCATGGTAGTTAGCAAGATGGTCACGCAGACTCAGCATCTCAGTCCCCATCACAGGCCTGAGTGGAGAACTCTGAAAACCAAACAGGCATTGCCACTTACCTGGTGCTGCCTTGAGCCTCACGTTATTTGGCATCAAAGCCTGACATGGTGGATGTAAAGCTATTTACAGTTTGTACTGGATTGGATGGCTGCATTTTTTTTTAATTTTATTTTGCTATAGGGTGGTTGTGCTCACCAGAAAAGAGATATATAGAGAGAATGAGAAAGTACTCCCCGGGGGGAATGACCACACCACAATCCCTTCTTCACTCTCCTCAAGATTTTGGACACACATGTACACATGCCCAGCATGTTTCTCAATCTGCTGGATCTAAGACTTGCACTGTCCAGCTGTCCATGTGGAATCCAACCCCTTAGCCCCATGCCACCTGCTGGCCCATTGGCTGCTCATTTTCCTGCCGGAATGATGGTTTGTTAAATTACAGGATGTGGGACTAGCCGTTGGCATCACGGCTATTGCCCTGGGAT